TGCTGAGTTCGGGGACACGCAGGACCCCCAGGTCCCCACCAGCCCCTTTGGCCTCTGTCCCCCCTGTCCCCTGTCCCCCCCTGTCCCCAATGTCCCCTGTCCCTGTCCCTGTCCTCCATGTCCCTCCCATCCCTCCCCTGTCCCTCCCGTCCTCCCGGACCCACCCCTGTCCCCTCCTGTCCCCCCCTGTCCCCCCCGTCCCCTGTCCTCCATGTCCCTCCCATCCTCCCTGTCCCCTCTGTCCCCTGTCCCTTCCTGTCCCCCCCATCCCGTGTCCCCCCCCTGTCCCTGTCCCCATGCCCTGTCCCTGTCCCGTCCCTGTCCCTGTCCCTGTCCCTGTCCCCATGCCCTGTCCCTGTCCCTGTCCCTGTCCCTGTCCCACCCCTGGCGGTGGCAGAGCCGCTTCAGCCGCAGTTGGGAGCAGTTGAGCCGCGCGAGCCCGATCAGGATCCCGGCCAGGGCACCCTGGGGACAGAGAGGGGACATCAGGGGACAGAGGGGACATCAGGGGACAGGAGGGGACAGAGAGGGGACATCAGGGGACAGAGGGGACATCAGGGGACGGGAGGGGACATCAGGGGACAGAGGGGACATCAGGGGACAGGAGGGGACAGGAGGGGACATCAGGGGACAGAGGGGACATCAGGGGACAGGAGGGGACAGCAGGGGACATCAGGGGACAGAGGGGACATCAGGGGACAGGAGGGGACAGGAGGGGACATCAGGGGACAGAGGGGACATCAGGGGACAGGAGGGGACAGCAGGGGACATCAGGGGACAGAGGGGACATCAGGGGACAGGAGGAGACATCAGGGGACGGGAGGGGACAGGAGGGGACAGAGGGGACATCAGGGGACAGGAGGGGACATCAGGGGACAGGAGGGGACATCAGGGGACGGGAGGGGACAGAGGGGACATCAGGGGACAGGAGGGAGGACATGAGGGGACATCAGGGGGACAGCGAGGGGACAATGAGGGGACAGTAAGGGGACACAAGGGGACAGCGTTACAGGAGGCAAGGGAACAGGGACACAGTGCAGGGCCGGCAGCCCCGGGAGGACGGGGACACCACGGGGACACCACGGGGACAGCCCGGGGACACCACGGGGACAGCCCGGGGACAGCCCGGGGACACCACGGGGACACCACGGGGACACCACGGGGACAGCCCGGGGACACCACGGGGACAGCCCGGGGACAGCCC